TTTTTTTTTTCCCCTCTCCTTTTTCTTTTTTTTTCTTCTTTTTTTTAAGCAGCTCGGGGTTGGGGGGGGGTCACCCCCTCCTCCCCCCGCGGTACGCACTTCCACCCCCCCCTTCATGTACAGATAAATTATATAAACGCGCTTTGATACGAGAGGTGCTGTGGCCTTGGGGTCAGAGGTCGGGGGTCAGAGGTCGGAGGGGGGTCAGAGGTCGGAGGGGGGGTCAGAGGTCGGAGGGGGGGTCACCGGGCGCGGGGCGGGCCGGGTGTGGGGCGCACCGCCCATCCCAGCAGCGCTAACACTCACTTCCGGTGAGGCTTTAATTTCCCCCTCACTTCCGCTTTCGCGCTGCTCGCACTTCCGCTTTTCGCCCCACCCACTTCCGCTTCCGGCGGCCCGCACTTCCGCTGCCTCGCCCCTCCAAACCGCGTCACAATTCTCCCGCCCCGCCCCTCGCGCATGCGCGCTGGGCCCTCCCCTCCCCATTCTCGCCTCGTTGCCGCCCGCCGTGCGCGCGCACCCCGCCCTGCGTCGTGACGTCAGCGCGTACGTTACGCTCGTGCGTGCGTGCGCGCGCGGGCGCGGATCGCCATGGAGGCCTCGGCGGGCGGCGGGGCGGCGCGGCGCTGGTATTTCAGCCGCGAGCAGTTGGACCGCAGCCCCTCGAGGCGAGCCGGCCTGGATCCCGACAAGGAGCTCTCGTACCGCCAGCAGGCCGCCAACCTGCTGCAGGACATGGGGCAGCGCCTCAACGTGTATCCGGCCGCGCTAGGCCGCGAGGCCTGAGCTCGAGTCGGGGCCTGGGCCGGCGGCGGGGGGGGGCGGGGATCTTTGGGGCGGGGGAGCGGGGATCGGGAGCGGCGTGGGGAGCCGAGGCGGGGCGGGGCGGAGGTGCGGGTTGGGCCGACGGACCGGCCGGGGGTCGGATGGGGGCCGCGCGTTTCCTTAACGCCGCCATCAGCTCCCAGCTCACCATCAACACCGCCATCGTGTACATGCACCGCTTCTACATGGTGCAGTCCTTCACCCAGTTCCACCGCAATGTAAGTCGGGGGTCTGTGGGGCTGCGCTCAGGCAGTGAGGGCCCTTTTTTCTCTCCTGGGGGAGGGGGGGGTTTAGGCTTTGTTTAGCGAGGGGGCGTTTGCTTTAAGCTGTGAGAAGTGGCGTAGTTTTTGGGTTTGTTGTTGTGTCTGTTCGGGTAGGATGAGGGGGAACGGTTTTGAAGTGAAATGGGGGGAGGAGGTGAGGTGTGAGGAGGAAATAATTCACTCGGCCTCGGTGCTGCTGCCTGCAGAAGCGCGGGTGGCAGAGCCCCCTGTAGGTGGGCTCATAGGGGGCTCTGTGATGCTGCTGGGAGCAGCCCAGGGTTGGGGGGGGCTACAGAGGGGGGTCTCCTTTCCAATCCTTCCCATTCTCTCGTGTCACGAATGGTTTTTCTCTTTGTTTCATCCCGTGAAGTCGGTGGCTCCCGCAGCGTTGTTCCTGGCAGCCAAAGTGGAGGAGCAGCCCAGGAAGCTGGATTATGTGATCAAGGTGGCACACGCCTGCCTGCACCCCCAGGAGCCGCCCCCCGACACCAGGAGCGAGGTGAGCGGCGCGGGCCGGGTCCTGAATCGCAGCCACGGTGATGTTGGGATCCTCAGAGCGATGCTCTGCGTCCTGGGATGGTCAGAGGCAGCTCCCACTTCACCCACCTTTACACTACAGAGAGCTTTTGGGGTTCCGTGTGGCAGCAGGAGTTTCTTTTCTGATTTGTGGCAGAAACTCTTCTGTTCTGCTGTGCTGTGCCCTCTGTGACAGCGTGTTAAATCTGGGTGCTTTCTTTACTCCATCCCACGCTGCTGGGACGCGTGGCAGAGCGTTGGTGCCGTGCAGTTTGGGTCTGCCCTGTCCCCACGTGTTTAATGCTGGTTTGGTTCCAAGCACGGCCCGTTTCCTTCCTCACAAAACAGCCTGTCTGACCTGGAACCGAGTAGCCAACCCTGTGGGGAAGGGGAGCCTTTAGGCAACAGAAGCTGGAGGACAAACCTTGCTCCTCTCGCGTGCGGTGTGAGGGAGGAGGGCTGGCAGTGGGGCCCGGCGCTCTGCTTTCTCTCTGTGCCACTTCCCCCAGCACAGAGCACCTCAGTGATTCCCCTTTGTTATTTCTGCCTCCCTGAGGAAGGGCTGTTAGGAAGGGCTGTTAGAAACGTGCAGGCTTTATGCACGGTGCCTCACTGGGAGTAACTCGCCTGTCCTCTCAACCCCAGGCTTACCTGCAGCAAGCCCAGGACCTGGTCATTCTAGAGAGCATAATACTGCAGACCCTGGGTAAGTTCTTCACATGGGTGCCACACGAATCCCAGAGCCAGGAGTCCCCACAGAGCCACAACCCCACAGCAGGAGAGCAGCAGCCCAGCTCTGTTTTCACCCTCGCTCCTCGTGCTTTCCCATTCACCTCGGTGCTCTCTGGTGTAATCAGCACCAGCTTTGCTGCTCGGAGGGTGAAGGTGCTCCCACAGTGTCCTCGTTGGGCTCAGTGATGCTCCAGCCCTGCAGCCACGAATGGGGGCTGTACAGCCTTCGTTATTTCTGCCTTCATTTAAATTGGGCCATAATCCCCCACTGCTGTGCTTTGGGTCACACACAGAGCCCCAATCTGAGCTCTGCTCTGTTCTGAAGTCACCTTCCTTAACCTCGTGGTACATCCAGAATATTCTGGAATATTCTGCCTGGAAAGGACTGGGTCTGTTGCACACATGGACCAGTGGGATTTTTTTTTTTTTTTTGGGTGTTTTCTGGTCTTTAAACCATAATGCACAAACTGAATAGGAAACCAAAGGGAGGATGGAGTCGGGTTGACGTTAGTGCTGCAGGCTGCTTCAAAGGGAAAACGTCTGCTTCCCTTTAGCTTTTTGGGTGACAGAAATTCCTCTGAGCAGATGCCATTGTCTTCTCCTTCCTCCCAGCTGCTGTAAGAGGCTTTGTCCTGCTATTTTTAAAATACTTAATAGCTGTTTTGTTTCCAGTGAGGTCTTTCAAGTGCTGAAGGCGTTGAGCTGCTCGGAGGCCCCACAGCAGCAGTGACCTTCGGGCTGCTCTATTCCTGCCTGCTCCAAGCAGAGGGCAGGGCTGTAGGAGGGAAGGGGAGGAGGCCTTGTCCCCCCAGGAGCAGGAAACACGAGGTTCGTAGGTCACAGGGGGTCTCTGCCTGCTGTCTGACGGCCGTATCTCTGTCTTCTTCCAGGCTTTGAGATCACCATCGACCACCCCCACACCCACGTGGTGAAGTGCACTCAGCTCGTGAGAGGTGAGAGCCGTCAGCTGCACGTGGGCAGTGCTGCAGGGGTTTCTCTTGGGGGCTCAGGCTGCCGTGAGCCCCATAGATGAGGGTCCCAGTGCCCCATGCTGGCACTGAGCAGCACCAAACACAGCCCTGCCCCATCCCCCCTTCAGATATCAATCAGCACTGCTCACATCCCCCCCTCCTCCTCTTCTTCTCTCCCCTGGGGCTCTCAGCCCCCCACAGCTCTGCACCCCCTGTGAGGCTCTCCCAGCTGTTCCCAGCCTGCCCAGTGCAGAGCAAAAGGGGGGAGCACCTCCCTGCCCTGCTGGCCGTGTTCTGTGCAGTGCCTCCAGGCAACCATTGGCCCCCTTGGCCACCAGGGCACGCTGCTGGCTCGTGGTCGCCCTGCTGGCCACCAGGATGCCCCGTGCCTGTGCCCAGCTCCCATGGGTTTCAGTAACCACGAGCAGAGGCGGCTGCTGAGCCACGCAAAGCTTTTTATGCAGCAGCTTCTAAAAGCTTTCTCAAGATGCAGCATGGAGAGAGTGAGCGGGGCCGTGCTGGGTGTCTTATTTAACGTGTGGGGCAAGAAAACTATCACTCCTAAACTAAAACGTGTTTGCCAGAAGCCTGGAGTAACACCCAGCTTTTCCCTTCTCTCTTACAGCCAGCAAGGACTTGGCGCAGACGTCCTACTTCATGGCTACCAACAGGTTATTATTTTACCATCGATTCATATCACAGGGTCTGATGTCAAGGGCTGCCCCTCTCTTGGGGACCCCTGAGCTGCTCAGTTCGGTGCCCTTCCTCCTGCTGGCACAGAACCAAAGCAGGAGCACAGTGGGGCACGGGAGCGGGTGGGTGGGCTGCTCAGGAACCTCACTGCTTGCTTCTGATGGTAAGTTAGACAGCTGGAGGAAGATCCGAGGAGGAATTAATAGACCTGGGATAGTTTTGAAGCCGATCTGCAATGGTTTTGCTTGCTGAGATGTTAGGTGTCAGTGTGTTGTCGCTGGGCTGGGTGCTGCGTGGGCTGTGAGTACATCTGTGCCCCGCAGGAGGCTGATGTGGGGTGAGAAGGGAGCAGAGAAGGAGCTGGATGGGGGCGTGAGGGGTTTGGGGAGGGGATGGTGGTCTGGATGAGTGCTCCAGCAGTGCTGGCAGCATCCAGAGATGGATTTGGGGAATGAAAGGAGTCCGTGGGTCCTTCGGCCTCGGGTAGCGTCAGGTAAGGCGTGGAGCTCCCTGCGAGGTGACAGCAGTGCTGGGCTCTGCCTCCCTCTGCCCCACTGCTGTGCTTAGGGGAGAAAGGCTGCCAGCAGGAGGAGGAGTGTGGAGCAGCCTTAAGTCACCCGGGTTTGCGTTGTGTGGACGCAGGGAGGTGGCAGTGCTCCCTCTGCTCTGGGAGCTGCATCGTGCGAGCTGCTCTCAGGTTTCCTCCCTGGGCTTAGCACGAAGGGGCTGTTGGTAACACGTGGCTAGGTGCAACCCTCAGGTGCTTTTACCCCCTCAGCAGTAATTGCAAAAGCAAGGAATGAGGGACGGAGGTGGTGCTCGAAGGAAGTGTGTGCAGACAGCCCTGTGTGTGCTGTGGCAGCAGCTGTGCTCACCTCCAAAGGCATCGGGGCAGAGCTGAGGCTGCTGCACTGCCCTGGCACATCGCACGAGGGCTTTCCTCTCGCTCTGAGCTTTGACTTCTTGGTGTGTGGACAACACAGCGCCCATGAAATCGATCACTGGAGGTGCTTTGGCTGCCTGCAGCACCTGCACCCCGTGCTGATGCTCTCAGGAAGCAGAGGAGTGCAGGCAGCGCCGTCCTGCTGTGCTGGTGGTGGTGGCAGGGAGTGCTGTGCTCCGTTTGCTCTCGCTGTTATGAAGGCTCAGTGCAGCTCCTGCAGGTGATGAGCAGAGTTCAGAGCTGGGATGCATCCGTCCCATGAATTCACGTTGGCTCTGAGCTCCTTACGGTGGTTTCTGAGCCCTTTGGTGCTGCCTGGACCTCCCTTCCCAGCGAGCTGTTAGGTGGCACGTGAATGTCCTAATTCATTTACAGATGAACGTGCTTGATGTGTGGCCAGGCTGCCTTGCAGGCTCTCCTGAGTCCCCCCAGTGGCTCTGGAGGGGGGAGCAGGGCCGGCTTGGAGCTCTGTGGACCCACAGCTGTGCTTCCTCCCCACGCACCCATCAGCGTGGTCACCCCCAGGCACCCCATCGCTGAACTCTGAGAAGGGGAGAGCCTTCCTGCAGGGCTGGGGGTGCTGCCCTCCCAGCTGAGTGCTGACGGAGGGCTCAGAGCTGCAGGTTTGGGAGGGGTGCTGTGACGTTCACACGGCCTGGCCCCATCCTGCAGCCGCTGCGTCGGGGCGCTGCAGCTCTGCATGAGGTCGCGGTCGGTGCAGATGTGTGCAGACCCAGCTGTGTGCAGAAGCACAGAGTTTAAGCACCGACCTCCCCGCTGTGTGTGGGTGAGAACGCTGCCCTCGGTGCCCATGGGGGAGAAAAGAGGGGATGAGCACAGATCCCACGAGCTCCGCGCTTGGCTGGGAGGTTCGGAGCGGTAACGAAGGTGCAGCCTTCCCTGCAGGCTGTGCCTGGAGGTGAATGGAGGAGCCCAGAGCAGAGCTGTGTGCAGCTCAGGGGGAAGGAAGGAAGGAAGGAGCCGTGGGATGGAGCCGGCTGTCACAGCAGGGTTGTGCTGGGGGAGGAGCAGCAGGGAACCCCCCCACCACGTCCACCTCTTCCGCAGCGTCTCTCCAGTGGGCGATTGCGTGCGCTGAGCTTCAGCCTTGGGAGTTGATGGCTTTTTGTTTCTCTCTCCCTGCTGGTGACGTCAGCCTGCACCTGACCACCTTCAGCCTGCAGTACACCCCTCCCGTTGTGGCCTGCGTCTGTATCCACCTGGCTTGTAAATGGTCCAACTGGGAGATCCCAGTCTCCACGGACGGGAAGCACTGGTGGGAATACGTTGATGGCACTGTAACTCTGGAGCTCTTAGATGGTAAGTTTTGGAGCGAGGTTCCCCCCAAAGGCTCTTGTATTTTCTTGGCATCTCTGTTCCTGCCATTCAGACACGGCCACTTCATGGGCTTGAAGGGCTTCTGGTTTTGCCATGGTTTCCAGTGCAGCAGCTGCTATGGTACAACAGAGATGGCAAAAGGCACGGAGAGATGAGTTTAAATGCGGTCAGTGGTGCCAGCTGTCAGCATTGCCCCTCCTGGAGTAGCTCCATCCCATCAGTAGCTCCATCCATCAGCGAGCAGGGGGTTGTCCCGACGGATCCGGGCTGCTCTGCTCATCCCTCTGACCTCCCCCTTCCCTCCTTTTGTGTCTCCTCTGCAGAACTGACCCATGAATTCCTGCAGATCCTGGAGAAAACCCCCAACAGGCTGAAGCGCATCCGGAACTGGAGGGTGAGGCTCTGAATGCGGGGCTCTGATGTCGCTGTGGGAGGAGGGGGTTCCTGCTTGGGAGGGCCTGTGGGTGCGCCCAGCTCCTCCAGCTGTGGGTCTGCATGTGGGGCAGAGCCTGCAGGGTGCATTGAGGGGGCAGATGTGGGCAAAGTGATTCCTCAGCACTTGGGAGGAGCGAAGCTGCCCAGAGAGGCTGTGGATGCCTCATCCCTGGGGGTGTTCAAGGCCAGGTTGGATGGGGCCCTGGGCAGCCTGGGCTGGCATTAGGTGGGATGGTGGTGGCCCTGCGTGTGGCAGGGGGTTGGAGATTCGTGATCCTTGAGGTCCCTTCCAACCCTGGCCATTCTGTGAAGCGATCTCAGTCCTCCATCCTGAGAGCCCCGATGGAAACAGCTGTGCTGTGCTTCCCTCGCAGGCCTCGCAGGCAGCCAGGAAATCCAAAGCCGACGAGCACGGCGAAGACGAGGGCCTTTCAGAGCAGACCATCCTCAACATGATTTCCAGGAACAACAGCTCGGATATGAACATTGCAGGGCTGATGAGCATGTCCACGTCCTCCACGGCCGCCGCGGGGCCTTCCATGCCAGCAGCTGCCGATTCTCCCGGTGCTCAGAGCGCAGCGGACGCAGCCCCGGCAGAGCGCTGGCTGTCCCAGCACCCTCCATCCAAGCTGGACGCCACGCAGAGCCACAGGACTAACGAGAGCACGGCGGGGGCCGAGCACCCCTCTCAGCAGCAGCAGGACGGCGCGGGCTACGCGAAGCAGGGCGCTAAGAACGCGCCGTCGGCCAAAGTGTCGCTGAAGGAATACCGTGCGAAGCACGCCGAGGAGCTGGCGGCACAGAAGAGGCAGCTGGAGAACATGGAGGCCAACGTCCGTTCCCAGTACGCCTACGCAGCCAAGAACCTCCTGGTGCAGCAGCAGAGGGAGAGGGAGGTCCAGCAGGACGGCAACCCGTCGCCCATCATCCTGAAAATCCCCATTGCGGAGAACGCCGAGCGCCCGCCGGGCCCTGAGAAAGGTGACAAAACCTCAGCGCTGAAGCTGAGGATCCCGATGGGGGGCGGAGGAGGGGAGAGGCCGCTGCCCTCCAAGCAGGAGGAGATCAAAATGCGCATCAAGGTGCCCAGCGAACGGCCAGGCGCCTCGGATGACGGCGGCACCAAGAGCCGGGGGGAGCACAAAGAGAAGCACAAAGGCCACTCCTCCAACCACCACCACCACAACCACCACTCTCACAAACATTTACACCCTCAGCTCGGCGCCGGGCCCAGCGCTGCGCTCAGCAAACGCCCGGGAGACTCAAAGCACGCGGGGCCGCCTGCTGGTGCTGCACCCCATAAGAGCTACGGCCTCTTTGGCTCATCCCGGAAGCGGCCGCCGCCGCCGGAGGAAGGCGCAGCTCACGAGCATCAACCCAAAGTCAGCAAAGGTCCCAAAGGCCCCGCGGCGCCCTTCCCATACCAGCACCTCCCGGGGGGGCACAGCTCGGATGCCATTCCCGCCCTCCCCACGTTGCCCTCTGCTCCTAACAAAGCTCGGGGGGGCACCCACGGAAAATCGGACAAAGGACCCGCGGGGGCCAACGGCCACAACGCCTCCCAGCCCAGTGACTACCAGGATACGGTCAATATGCTGCACTCTCTGCTGAGTGCGCAGGGCATGCAGCCCAGCCAGGCCCCCCCCTTTGAGTTCCATGCGTACGGGGAGCTTTTGAACCCCAGGCAAAGCGGCCGACCTGCCAACACGGACAGACCCCGACCCCCCCCTCTGCCCTCAGAACCTCCCCCTCCTCTGCCCCCCCTTCCCAAATAGGGCCCTTTTTACTACTGAATTCCCACAGCCCCGACCCTGCGCTGACTGGGGAGTGGGGAGGGGGTGAAGGGGGGGTGGGAGGAAGGGCTGTTCTGTTCTCCACTGCCTCACGAAGAACTTATTTTATTATTATAACTTTTATTATATCGGTATTCAGAGCGCGGAGATGGCGAAGCTGTGAAGGGGTGAATCCTTCCCTCCTCCTCGCTCCCTCCCTCGCCGCCTCCCCGTTGGCAGTGGGCTCCGTCCCCGCTGCAGCTGAAGCCCCCAAATGGGGGGGACCACGTACTTGTGGGGGAAGGGGGGGAGGTGGGGGTCTGGGGGGGGGGGTATTTAAGACATGTAACAGAAAAATCTACGACGTTTTACAAATAATTTAAGCAGTAACTTATATGGTAGCGTTTGGTTCCTTTGTGGGGGCGTGATGCTGGAAGGCGACGTGGGGGGCAGAGGGGGGGACAGAGGATGTGTGGGGTGGATGGGGTGTGTGGTGGAGGCTCCGGCTGTCGGGCAGCGGATGGAGGAGGGTTGTGCAGCGATGTAACGGCTCGGTGTGAACCAGGGGGGCTTTGTGCCCCCATCACAGCCCTCGTGTCCAGCCCTGGTGTGTGCGGGGCGCTGTGGGATTGGGGTCGGAGGAGCCCGCAGTGGGGCTGGGGGGCAGTTTGGGGCCCCACTCTGTGCTCAGCCCGTGGCTCCCTTCAACGGGAGCCTGCAGTTCCAGCCGCGCCCTCAACCTGAGCGCTCTGACCGCATTGGAAAAGCCAACTGCTTCTGTTCCTTTTCCAAGCTTCAATAAACGCGCTGCCTCCGTATGGTTTTTTTTTTTTTTTGAAGGGGGGGGCGGTGAAACTCATTCCAAAGAGTTCACAGACGGTTCTGTGGGCTCCGTTTTTCGCGCTGGTTGAGGCTGAGCCCCGCGGTCGGGGCTCCGCGTTGGGCTGGCGGCGGGCCGGGGGCGACGCGCTGCCCACGTGTCGGCGCCCACGTGTCGCCAACCCGCGAACCGCCTCACGTGACTCCGGGAGGCGCGGCCTGCCCGTCGCAGAGCGACGGCTCTCTCAGCCAATCGCGCGAAGCACCGCCCCTCTTCTCTCCGCCGATTGGTGGCGGGGCGGGCCAATCGGGAGGCGGGCCGCTTCATCGCGGCCGAGGCGGCACGGAGGTAAGATGGCGGCGGCGCTGCGCTCCCTATCGCGGCCTTCCCGCCCTTCCCCGCGCTCCTCCCGCGCTCCCTCCGCCGTCCGCCGCCCGCGGGGCCGCTCACCTCCGTCTTTCCGCTCCGGCGGTGCCGCCGCGATCCCCCCCGGGGAGCCAACCTCGCTCCCGCCGCCCGCGGACAAAATGGCGGCGCCGGCGCGGGCGGGAGGCGGCGGTGCGCATGCGCGGGGAGCCGGCGCGTGGCGGTGGGGGAGCACGTGGGGGGGGCACCCATAAAATGGGGGCACCCATAAAATGGGGGGGTCTGGGGAGAACGGGAAGGGCAGGGAGAGGGGGGCACCGAGGTAAGGAGCGGGAATGGAGGGAGAATGGAGGGCGGGGGGGGTGGGAGCGG